TATTTTTAATGAAAATATAAAAAATAATTTCATTTATATATTTAAAAATTTTTAAAAATAAAAGACCTACAGTTAAAGTGTAAATCTGCGCTGTCATACCAACTCTCAGCCTTATTAAGATAAAGGCTCTCCATTTATTATTGCCGGACAAAGAGGGAGTCTGAATCTGAACCATTGCCTATTTTCTATTAAAAAAAAAGTGAAAAAAAAAAAGGAGTCTGAAGGGCACGTGCTTTATAAAAAGTAAACGCAAGTCAACGGAACTGGTAGAAATAAGCCGACTTTGTCTTCCTTCTACAAAGAACCCGTGAATCTCAGTCACTACATTCATCTGCCGATCTGTGCCTCCCAGTCTCAGTCCCAATGAAAACCGACCTCATTCTCACGTTTTGATTGTTGATTTTTCTAAGATGTAAGTCATGATGAGCAAGATAGAGTAAGGGATTGGATTGTGGTCGCAACTTGCCAGTCTTATTTAGGTAAATCACATTTCTCTCTTACTACATATTATTCTCAAATCTTAGATCTGCTACATAACTTTATGTATTTGTAGACTTTTAGCATGCTTTTGTTATATTTTCAACAAGTCATGTACACTAGGGTGTTTAAAATCATGAATTTACATGAAAATATCTGAGTGATGAAAGTGAATTTTGAATGGGTATTGCTCAGTTGCTATTTAGTATTAATTTTGTGTCATTAAATTGTGAAAAAAAAAGAGTTAATTTGTGTCATTTTGTGTAATTAATTGTGTATATTAATTTTTCTTTTTTCTTTTTTTTTTGCCATCCTACAAGAAATAGTTGCAAAATTGGAAAATGGTGACAAATAATCACTATTGAAAGGTTTTGTTAAAGTAAAAGATCTGAGATAATTGAATTTGTTTGGAATTGTCGGATGGTCCTTTATTTGTTGCAACAGAGAAAAAGTACTGTAAAATTAATCTTAGAAAATAAGAAATATTAAAAGTATGTTTGGTTTAAAAAAAATGAAAAGAATGAGAGAAAAGAGATGATTTTAATTAATTAAATTATAATTTTTATCAATATTATAATTTAGTTAGTCAAACAATATATACATTCCCTACCCGTTGAACCTAGTGTATACTAAAAGAAGTAAGGGCGTTAGTTTCGACCTTTTAATTATAAGTATCAGTTGTTTATTTTAATCAAATAGATTAAATAGTTTAAATTATAAATATTAATCATTATAAAGTGTTATTAATTATCACTTATCAACTATTTTAAAAGAAATTAATCCAAAAAGCATACTAAATAGGTGTTTTTAGACCTGTTTTATGGGTATTATTTTTAATATTTGTAGTAATATTTTAAAATTAAAATTATTATAGCCTTTTTTTTTAAAATCCCTAATAATTTATCAAACACGAATTAATATTATCTAAATGCGGTGAGGAAAAGTATTGTGAAGGTAATCCTGTAAACTTAGGCTTCGATTAGGGATGCTGTGTTTGTATTATTTTAGTTTTTTTTTTCTTTGTTGTCTTTTCTTGTAAAAAACAATCAAATATTAATTAAAATTACTAAAAATATGTAAAATATTATTAAAATTAATTAAGTAGATATGATAAATTTACATTTTTTGATAATATGTGTACGTAGCTTATAGTCATTCTGTCCCAAAATAATTATCTTTTCTTTTTTACTTTAAATCTATTACAAATTAATTTTTATTTTTTCAATTTTTAAGATTGACATTTGTTTCCTACTCTAACTCTATTGTTATCCTTTTACCATAATTATTATTTTATCACAAAAAATCCTTTTTATCTTTTGTTTTTAAGGATAATATAGATAAATGAATAAATTGCCCCTAAATTCGTAATTTAGAAAACAAGGAAAAAAGTTACAGATATTTTAGCACAGAGGAAATAAATATGTCATTGGTAGAGTTTTCTTGATAAAACTAGAATTTCTTTTAACAAAAAAATAAAAACTAGAAGTTTATTGAATATTGAGATATTCTAATTTAAAGTCTTTCCTTTCATAAAAAAATAAAAAGTCTTTCCTTGAATAAAATAATTAATTTAGGAAATAATTAATTTAAGTTTAAAATTTATCTTATTCTTGAAAAATCAGGAACTGTTTGGAATTTTTGTGTAATGTTGTGGCTGTTTTTATACAAACTATGTTCATGTTAATTAAATAATTTTTAAAAGTGGAGCAAAAAAAAATTGAAAAGTATTACTATTCCTCTAAACAAGTATCACTACAATAGACAAGATATTAAACCAATTTAATTTAATTTTAACAAATTCACATTTTTAGTATTGACTAATTGTATTATTATTATGTTTAGTTTGAGTGGAGGGGAGGTGAGGGAAGAGGAGAAAATTCTTTTATTTAATTACTAAAAAATTTAGAACGAAGAGAAGAGGAATGATATTTTCTTTCTGTTTCTCTCAAACCAAAAGTAATATCAAACACACTGAACTCTTTTTACTACTAGTTTATAAAAGGAGTTGGCATTGTGCATAGGGTTTAGAGTTCTCCGCTGCCTAATTATACACCATGCGAATTGATTGAATTTGTAATGTTTAGTAGTAAAGTTCAAAGTGTTAGTGAAGTAATGAATTTATTTTAAGACTGATTTTCCTTTTCTTGTTTCAGTTAATTTATTCTTTTGTACATCTTTTTTGGTTATTGATTTCAGATAGAAGAATCCAATCGAAAATTCACCTCTGTTGCGATTCTAGACTCTCTCCATGGAATATATTGAAATAATAATCCCATCATTGGTAGATAAAATAGAAGAGCATGCTAATTCCCACAAAGCATTGAGCCAGCTGTTGGAAGATATATGGGACAGAGCAACGCAGAATCCTAGAAATTACGAGTCGAGTGAGCTGCTGACTCAAATTTGCAGGTTGGAGGATACCATTGACTCCATCATTGCTACAAAAGTGCTGCAGAGACAAAATATCTCCATCAAGAAGGCTCCTGTCAAATATTTTTCAATTGCAAAAAGCATTGTCAAATTTCCTCACAAGTTGCATAGGCAAACTAAGGAGCTAAAAAAAATATTGAATGATTCCTTGTCTGCCCCAATTCCAGAAGAGAAGTTACCGAGCAAATCAGATGCCGTAGAGGTTCCAGCAAAGAAGTCCTCTAGTAACACAGTTCCTCAAAAGAAGTCCTCTGGAGATGCTGCAGTTTTATCAAAAAAACCAAGGGGCATTCAAGTCTCATCAGAAAACAAAGATGTTGGGAGGGACAAGAAGGATTCAGATGAAAGACATCGTCAGAGTTAGGAGGATGGGTGTGTCCCAATTGTCTTGGAGGAGTTAGTAAGCAAGTTAGCTCAACCAGTACTGCTTAGCAGGCGGATGAGGCAACTTCTCATTTTGAAAGTCAATTTGGAATACCCTAGTGATGTTTTCTCGCGGACTTGCTACCATTCTTCTGTTACCAAACAACATTTTCAGTTTTGCTGTTGGGTTCTTGTTTCTAAAGAGTCAGAAGAAAGAAATATCTTAAGTGATATTTTGAAACAAGTTCCTTCTATTAAGCAGGAAGCATCCGAGCTGTCAAATCAGTTATTGAGGAAGCGGCTTCATGATTTTTTAGTTTTTAAAAGGTACCTGATAGTTTTATATGGTGAACTAAGAGACGATGTTTGGAACAGTCTCAAATCTGCTTTTCCCTACTCATTGAATGGTAGCCGAGTGCTCCTCATCTGTGAAGGAATCACTTCAACCAATGGTTCAAAGGAATGGTCAAGCCAACAGCTAGGGAAGTCTGAAGATTATTTGCTGGAGCAATCTAGAATTCTTGGCATGAAGGATATTATGACTGAGTTATACCAGTCAATCTTAAGTCAGTATAAATTGTTGTTTCTCATTTCCGTTGTTGGGGTGGCAGAATCAGAGAAGACAACTTTTTTGTGGGATACGTAAAATGCAGAGGGTATAAAGCAGCAATTCCAATACCGTGCCTGGGTTCGTGGTCCAAAACAGTTTAAAGAAGAATATCTTTAAAATCTTCTAGCTGATATTTTGAAACAAGTTACAGGTGATAACAAGTTAGAAGAAAAAAACCGAGACCTAGTGACACTAGAAACGAAGCTTTGCAATTTGCTAGCTCCGAAGAGGTACCTTATAGTTTTATATGATGTTTGGACGGCCGATGTTTGGGACAAGCTCAAAGAAGCCTTTCCCAACCCCATGAATGGAAGCCGGATGATTCTAACTGTCAGTGAGGCTGATGTGGCTTGGCAAACCAACTCTTCTAGCGTCTTTGGAACAGTTTGTGGAAAAGAGTTGCTGCATGAAAAGTTTTCTAATCTAAAAGTTAAACATAGGTGGGGAAAATATTCTCCGATGTTAAGGCCAATGAGTCAGAATTTGTTGGACTGGATGATAAAGTGCAGGAATTAGCTGAACTGCTACTTGAAAGTTATCAATTTCTCATCTCAGTTGTGGGTGTGGCAGGCTCTGGCAAGACGATGCTTGTGAAGGCAATTTTCAGCAGTTTAGCGATTAAGCAGCATTTCGAGTGTCGAGCTTTTGTTTCTGTTTCTCAAGTATTTGAGAGGGAAAACCCTTGGCAGACTTATTAATGCAGCTGGGAATGGTGCGGAAGGATGAGAGCTGGTCCACAGAGGAATTGCGAAAAAGACTTGGACTTTTCTTGGCTTGGAAGAGATACCTAATAGTTTTAGATGATGTCTATACAGCTGATGCTTGGGAAAAACTCAAATATGCCTTTCCAAATTCGTCAAATGGGAGTAGGGTTATACTCACTACTCGTGATGCTTGTGTGCCACGGAATATTAAAGCACATACCAGAGTTATCCAACTACGTTTACTAAACGATGATGAAAGCTGGGAATTGTTTGTAGAGAAGGTACCAACAGTTGTAGAAAAACCAGAATTGATGAAAGCTCTCAAAGAAAATATTTTGCGAAGATGTGGTGGCCTGCCTCTTGATATAGTTGTACTTGGAGGTTTGCTTTCGACCAAGGAACTGGAAATTCCGGTATGGTCTAAATTCATTAAGCAAGTAAGTCAAAAGAAAGAAAAGAAAGGGAGGGTAACTGGTAAAGACGTTGTGAATTCCTCAGTCCAACCGACTTCCTCATATATGAAGCCAGAAAATGGAAAGAAATTTATAACAGGTCAGTCATGTTCTTTCACCCAACGTGATTCATGAGATACCAAGCTGGAAGAGAAAGATGGTAAGGGGCAGATTGAGGAAATTGGTCCCAGTGAAGCTCCAGCGATGCAAGAAGAAGAAAAGGTGAAGCATGGAGCAACCAAAGAAGATCAGGAACCTTCGCCAAATCAATCACCTTCCTCATCAGATACCACGCAAAAGGAAGACAACAGGATACTGGAGACCCAGAATACTTCTCTTGATCTAGATCAATCAGGTTCCTCAGATGAAACCCTCTCATTTTTATTGGCTTTAGGCTATAAAGATCTAAATGCCCATTTAAAGTTCTGCCTAAATTATTTAGGCCTCTTTCCCAAACCATACAAGGTTCCTTTTAGGAGGTTGTTTCATCTATTGCAAGCTGAGGGATTGTTGAAACAAGAAACGACTGAAGAAAGTTTTGAAGAGCAGGTGAAGAAATACATCGAAGACTTAAAAAAAAGAAACATGATTGAGGTAGAAAAAAAATTAAATGGGAGTCCTAAAACCATTTGTATGACAAGTACTGTATATGATGAATTGTCTCCACGAGCAGAGAGAGCTGGATTGTTTCACATTCATTTCAACCATTATGAGGAATATGCCCCCAAACAATTCGGGTACATCCGACGGCTTGCAGAACACCAAGAGATCAGCTATGACAGGCTTCTAGAGAACAGCTATCAGCTGCGTTCTTACATTTCATTCAGACCGGAAATAGGTGATCTACCTGCATTCGGAGTAGATAAACTTCTTAAAGGGATTGTGAAGGGAGGTTTTGGATTAATTTTCATACTTGATTTGGAAGGAGTCTACCAACCAGTGTTATCTAAACATCTAGGCAAATTTCCCAAACTCAAGTATTTGGGTTTAAGATGGACTTTTTTGGATTCAATTCCAGATTCAGTTGGTGACTTGCTTAGCCTTGAGACTTTGGACGTGAAGCATACTAATATCATCACTTTACCTGGTGAGTTCTGGAAGGCAAAATGTCTTCAACATCTTTATATGAGCGATATTTGTATTGATACATCTATTCCAACGGCCCGTCAAACAAATGGATCGTTAACCAATCTTAAGACTTTATTGGGTCTGGTGATCCACAATGAGAAGACTGTAGATTATTTGAAGGAGGCAAATGGTCTTAGAAAACTGGAAGTAACATGCTATGGAGAATCAATTGTAGAGATAGTTGGGTGGATTTCTATGTTGACCCAACTTCAATCATTGAAGTTAAGGTCAATAAACAAAAGCCGCAAACCTTCATTGGAATTAGGGAACTGTTGGAATAGGCCCAACATTCAATTTGGGTTGTACATAATGGGCTTAGGCTGCCGCCCATTAGCCCAAAAGGAGGAAGTACCGGTACAGCAAGTACAAGCATATCCACGTGGGCCAATGAGATGCTTACATGTACAGACGCATGTCAGCATTGAGGCTATAAATACCCCCCAACTACCTCTGATGAAGGTAATTAATCTCTACACCACACTCTCTCTGCAATTACTCTTTGAGAGCGTCTCTCTTTAGAATATCGAGTATTGCTGACTTGAGCGTCGGAGTGTTTTCCCCGAGGAAACATCCTCGGGAATTTCAGGTGTAGAAGCAGCTGAAGACTTCAATAGTGTTGGATCGTGAAGCTGCCTAAACATTTGGCGTCGTCTGTGGGAAATTGAACAAGAAGTTGTGTAGCTTAACCAGCTGAAAGACAAAATGGTTCGTACCTTTACTGGAAGTCGCCTCCCAAGAAATGAAATGGATGAGCAGGAGGACACCTAGCTGTCCGAGCTCAGCTTGAATGATTTTAGGCCAATGTCGAGAAACCTTTTTGTTGGAGGAGCAGAACAGGAACAACCTAGTGGAACAGATGATGATGAAAGAACACCAACTGGGTATTCAACTCAGCCTGAACAATTCCAAATTCCAACAGGAACAAGGCATAGACATCCCAGGTAAGGCAATTCACAGCACGAACAACCTAAAAGGTCAACCGAGCCTGCTCGGACAACCGAGCTCGAAGAGAGAACTAGAGTTCTCGAAATGGCAATGGGTAAAATCCTTGCTCGTTTGATCCCTGATGACCTCCTAATTCCTTTGCTGAATAGGGATGCACAACCAGTTGCGGTAGTTACAACTCATAACTTTCCCGCTTTGAGCAACATAGTAGTGTCGACCAAACCAAAGGGAAGTGGGAGGTTAAATAACGAGCCTAGCTCGTCCAAACATAGTGAAGAACTGATGAGAAAGAATGCCAACCTCGAAAGGCAGCTACAGGAGGTACAGAAATCCATTGACGAGCTAAAAAGCCCCAGGTCGCACCAACAGACCCTTGACTTGGATAGTGCCCCACTTAACCTATCCATCACAGCAGAACCGTATCAAGAGGGATTCAAAATCCCCCACCTACAGACATATGATGGCTCGGGTGACCCAAATGAGTATCTTTATACCTATCAGGCTATCATGAGAATCCAAAATGCCAATGACGCCATGATGTGCAAAGTATTTCCAACGACACTGAAGTTAACGGCCAAACGATGGTATCATAAGCTCCCCAGATACTCTATAGATTCATACTCCTAGCTTGCCAAGCTATTCTCTAACAAATTTGAGAGCCAAAGAGAGATTAAACGTACAACGACTGAACTAATGCAGGTTCATCAGAAAGAGGGGGAATCTTTGAGGGACTACATGCAACGATTCAACAAGGCCACTTTAGACATTGATAACGTCCCCGATACTATCTGCTTGTCTGCCTTGCTGCATGGTTTGAAGCATGGTCGGTTCCTAGACGACCTACTAGAAAACCCACTAAAGACGTGGAACGAAGTAAATGACAGGTCGGCTAGCTTCATACTGTCAGATTACTTCCAGTCGTCCAAATGACGAGCTGATGATAGACAAAGCAAAAGCCAAGAACAACCACAGCGAAGAGAGGAAGAAAAAACAAAAGGTCAATGAGCAGTGGGGAAAGCCATCTGACTTTCCAAAGTATGACAACTACATTCCTTTAACCTCGCCAAGGTCTCAAATCCTGGCACAAATCCAGCACTAGATCAGAAGACCACCTCCCCCATTGCATGATTCCCCAAGAGCAGATAAAAGCAAGCATTGTGACTACCATCGTGCATACGGTCACAATACAAAAGACTGCCAACATTTAAAAGACGAGTTGGAATTCTTGGTTCGCAATGGGAAATTAGAAGGATATGTTTAGAAGCCTTATGCCTAGCAACCAACTCAAACTCACTTTGTGTAGGGGTATGATCGACCTCAAGGGTAGAGGTATCAGCTTGGCAGCACACAGGACGTGTATCAGGATAACCAATATCCTTCTGAGCAGGGCAGAGCATACAGGGGCTGTCAATTTAATACGTGAGGCCAAGGACAGAGAACTGCCACTCAGAACCAAAAAGATAGGAAAGGGGTAGGCTATGCTGGGATACCCTCGCCCTCAGGCACAATAAACATGATCTTGAGTGGTATACACTCAAGAGGCCAAAGCGCTCGGGGTCGCAAGGCATATGCCCACCAGGTGATGACTGTTAATAAGAATAGGCCTTTGAAGCGACCATTCAAAGAGGCAAAATGGGAAAATGCGCCCATTACATTCAGTGCAGCAGATTATAAGCGAGCAGACGGAGAACAGGACGTTATGATGCCTCATGCAGATCCTTTTGTGGCAACGGTCCATATAGGCAATCACAACGTCAACAAGGTCTTTATCGATACTGGTAGTTCACCAGATATCTTGTATTGGAGCTACTTTCAGAAGATGCAGCTGAATCCGAGCTCGCTACAGAAGTATGAAGGGCCCATGTACGGGTTCGATAATCAACCCGTCCCGGTTGAAGGAGTCATTACTCTTCCCATCTATGTGGGCTCGGAACCACGCTTCAGGATGGCTTTTGTTAGCTTTCTGGTTGTCAAGATAGAATCAGCTTTCAATGCTATACTAGGAAGAGCCACCCTCTGCGAGCTGAAGGCTGTTTTCTCGCAACCTCATCTTTGTATGAAATTCCCAACTCCTCAAGGGGTAGGAGTGCTTAAGGGGAACCAGAAGATGGTCAGAGCCTGTTATCAAGGTATATTCAAGAAGGTTGAGCTTGCTGCAGCCTCGGCAGGTTCTTCTGAAATTCACAGGCCAGCCCAGCTCGATCAGCAGACAATGAGCATATCAGATATCGAGCACCGACCTGAGAGTGTCGAGCAGAAGGCTGAGCCAGTAGAACCAGTGGAAATGATCCCTTTGAACCTTGATACGCCAGAAAGAACAGTTAAAGTGGGCACAAAGCTCACAGCGGGAGAACGAGCAGAGCTTCTAGAGTTTTTAAGGGTTAACCAAGATGTGTTTGCGTGGACAACAGATGAAATGCCTGGCATTCCAGCAGAGTTAGTAGTCCACAAGCTCAGCACGGACCCCATTAGAAGGCCGGTGGTTGAAAAACGTCACCTTTTTGGCCCTGAGAAGCAAGCTGCTATAGATGAAGAAATACAAAAGCTACTACAGGCATGTTTCATCAGGAGAGTTGAATACTCTGAGCGGGTGTCCAACTCTGTGCTCGTCAAGAAACCAAATGGCAAGTGGAGGATGTGTATTGATTTCACCAACTTAAATGAGACGTGTCCGAAAAACCCTCATCCCTTGCCAAATGTTGAGAAGTTAGTAGAGCTAGCAGCCGGACATGAGCAGATGAGTTTCCTTGATGCCAGCTCAGGTTATCACCAGGTTCAGTTGCTGCTGGACGACTAGGAGAAAACAGCTTTTTATACTGGTGACACAATCTACTACTACGTCATGATGCCATTTGGCCTGAAAAATGCTTATGCGACATATCAAAAGCTGGTGTAGGTCATCTTTAAGCTCCAGATCGGCAGGAACATTGAAGTATATGTGGACGACATGACAGTCACCAGTAAGCGAGCTGAGGATCATATAGACGACCTGGATGAAACATTTCAGAACTTGCGCCGAGCCCAAATGAAGCTGAATCCCTTGAAATGCACGTTTGCTGTAGAATCAGGAAAATTCCTAGGGTACGTGATATCCAAGAAAGGAATTGAGGTAAATCCAGAGAAGGTTCAGGCCGTTCAGCAGATGGAGTCTCCCAAGACCATAAAAGATGTGCAGCGTCTGATAGGTTGTGTTGTTGTGTTGCATAGGTTCATAGCCAGGTCGGCAGAAAGGTGCCTCCCGTTCTTTAAAGCCCTGTGAGAGCCCAAAAACTTTCAGTGGACCGACGAGTGTCAGTGGGCGTTTGATGAGCTCAAACAATATCTGGCGTTAGCACCCCTGCTGTCCAAGCCTGTGGAGGGGGAGAGATTATACCTGTATTTGGGGGTTACAAAGGAGGCGGTGAGCTTGGTTTTGCTAAGGGAAGAAAATAAACATTAGAAGCCTATCTGCTATGTGAGCAAGGTTTTACAAGGCATAGAGCAAAACTACCCACTAGCAGAAAAGGCTACTTTTGCCCTAGTCTACACGGCTCGTAAGTTGAGAGCTTACTTCCAATCACATCAAATTGTTGTCTATACCGATCTGCTGTTGAGGAAGATATTGTAGAAGCCGAAACTCTCTGGTCGGCTTATCGGGTGAAGCGTCGAGCTGAGTGAGTATGATCTCAAATTTCAGCCGCGCATAACCATAAAAGGCCAGGCTGTGGCGGACTTCCTAGTGGAGTGCCTTTCGGTGACGGTCGAAGAAAGGGCACTCGTATACTCGGTCTGGGTCCTGTACGTGGATGGAGCTGCTAATATTGAAGGATCGGGTGCCAGGGCTGTGTTGGTGGGCCTAGATGGCTTTAAATCCGAACATGCATTAAGGTTCAAGTTTCAAACAACAAATAATGTTGCAGAATATGAAGCCCTCATTTATGGTTTGAAACTGGCGTCCGAGCTACAAGTTCAGAGCATAAAGATTTTCAGTGATTCTCAGCTCGTTGTGGGCCAAGTGAATGGTAGCTGTGAAATCAAGGATTCTCAGCTTGGTCGTTATGCCTCTGGGGTCAATAGATTGAAATTAGGATTTGCCTTTTTCCATATCGACAAGATACTCAGAGCAGATAACCAACGAGCTGACGAGCTATCAAAGTTAGCCTCCTCGCAAGATATCAACCCTCAGCGATCAACAATTGTGGAGGTACTTGACGCCCCGAGCTACACCGATTTCACAATCGAGTGTCAACTGCTAAGCACAGATCCCTCTTCACCGAGCTGGACTACCTCGCTCATACAGTATATGCGAAGTGGCGAGCTGCCTGAAGACCCGTCCACAGCAAAGTTGATTAAACGCAGGGCGGCACATTTCACTCTGTTAGATAATCAGCTCTACAAGCGAGCAGCCTCAATCCCCCTATTACGCTGCCTTACTCCTTATGAAGCTGAATACGCTGTGAGGGAAATTCATGAAGGAATATGTGGCACACACATAGGTGGTAAAACATTGGCTCGGAAACTCCTGAGACATGGGTATTACTGGCCTACTATGGTCGAGGACACACAGAATTATGTCAAAAAGTGCCCGACCTACCAGTTCCATGCTGATGACATTCACATGCTAGGTATCTGAGCTCGTCCTAAAGTTTGTGTAAACTTCATGTTTGTCTATAACCTGAACATAAATATCTCCGTTGAAACAGGAGAAATGCTATAATCACTCTCATCACCCTAGCCTTTTGCTCAATGGGGAGTCGATCTGCTCAGCCCTTTTGTCAAAGGCAAAGGAGGTTGCACTTACCTAGTTGTCGTGGTGAATTACTTCACCAAATGGATAGAAGCCAAACCATTATCCACGACAACAGAGAAGAAAATAGAGGAATTCCTGTTCAATTCAATATTATGCAGGTACTCTTTGGTGGCTTAAGCCATTTGTACATTGTATACAAATATAATTTGTGGCTCAGCTCGGTCATCTGTGTACAGGTTTGGCATACCTAAACGAATCATCGCTGACAATGGTCCATAGTTCCGAGCCGTGGCACTGAGGTCGTTTTGTAATGACTATGGCATTAAGCTCACTTAACATCTGTATATACTCCACAGTCAAATGGGCAAGCCGAGTCCGCCAATAAAATTGTCTTGCGAGGCCTCAAGACGCGTGTTTTAGCCGCATATTCTAATTGGGTTGATGAGCTGAATAAAGTGTTCTGGTCGTGTTGCACTACACCCAGCTCGGCTACAGGCGAAAACCTATTCAGCCTCGCCTATGGAGTTGAGGCCGTTATCCCTGTAGAGGTGGGGTTGCCATCCGACAGATCAGATCGGCACGATGATCTTAACAATGAACAACTTTTAAGAGAGAACCTAGACCTTGTGGAAGAGGTTAGGGAGATGTCTTGAATAAAAAACATGGCATATCAGGGTTGTGTTGCAAAATTTTATAATAAGAGAGTCCGAGCTCCTCAGTTTCAAGTTGGTGATTTGGTTTACGCAAAACTGGATTAACCAATGCTTATTCGCACATGGGCAAGCTCGCTCCTAATTGGGAAGGTCCGTATATGGTTGTTCAAGTTAAGCGACCTGGATCTTATGTTTTAGCAGACATGCAGAAACGCCAGTTACCATTCATTTGGAATGTACATAATCTCAGAAGATATTACAGTTAATATACATGTTAGTGAGAAATTTGTTCGAGAAAATGTAAAACATACATGCAATGCAATAAAGAAGAAAAAGTTCAAATAAAATCTCCCACTTTCTATTACTGTTCAAAAGTTACAAATTTCAGTATAAGAGATCATGATGAAGTTGTTCAAAACAAGAAACAAAAAGTACAAAAGAATAAGAAAAAGTATAACCCTAAACTAATCGTCCGTCAGGTCGATGGGCGCGAATGCGTCAGCAGGAGGGCCTGAGGCGCGAGCTGGAGATGACTGGGCCGCAGGCTCGCGAGCTGGTGTAGTAATGGGAGACCTTGCCAGCACCACGGCAGGCTGAGAGTTTGGGGGAGTGCTCGATGGCTCTGGTTCAGCCACAAGAGCCCTTTCAACCCATGAGTCGAAGGAGGGTAGACCCTCTGGATCCCCCCCTTCTTCCAAGACTGAGGGAGGCCAGATAGGTACTCCCTTCTCGTTGAGTTCCCATCTCAACAGCACTGTTGCATCAGCAAGGGGAGCAAGGCTCTTACCCTGCTTGTCAAGGTCCTCCCCATCAAAGAACGCCAGCTCACATATTGGGAAATCAGGACGATGCTGCAACACCTTCCCATAGATCTTGTTGTAGATTTCTGTGGTCATGTTTGCAGACGCCACTGCCACAGCGTCTTGGAACGCGGCCGAGCCCACCAGCCATTCTGCCCCTTGAGCACGAGCGATGCTTACAAAGTGCCCTTGAGATGTCTTCACTCTGTTCAGGGCCTCTTCAGCTTTGTTAAGGCTCTTGGCGGCCTCGGCGACTTGTTGCCTTAGGGAGCTCAACTCGTTCAGAGTATGGTCCCTCTCGGCCTCAGCTTTCTTGGCCCGTTCCTCAACGTGGGTGGCCTCATCCTTGGTTGCCTGGATCCTGCTTTCCTTCTCGGCGTGGGCCCTCTCCAGCTCCTCCTTAAGCTCATTGTTCCTGCTCGCCAGCTCCTCTGCTCGACTTTCCACCGAAGCAACTCGAGTGGCCATCTCAAAGCCTTGCAGACGATTGACGTTATCCACTAAGCTCGCCTTCTCTGTGGCCAGCTGTTTGCAGTTGGCATTAAGCCCGCTGTTCTGTGTGCGAGCTCCCTGAGCGCTTTCAAACAGCGCGACCGCATAGCTGAACGCTTGACAGATAGCATTAACTATTAGTCTCTCGGGTGAAATAGCAAAATAATCACGCAAGTGCGAGTAAATACTTACGTCCATCAATTTGATCATGGCGACTTGCCCGCCATGCTGCTGTACATAGGTCCTAGCCTATTGACGATCTACGGGAGGCACAAAACTTTGCATGCCCTGCACCATGGCGGGCTGGCAGTCCGTCTTCACGTAGCTGAAGCCCTCCGGATATGCAATCTGGGGTGCCAACACTGTGGTTGACGCAGGTGCAGTCTCAACTGCTGCCCGTGCCATGGCAGACGGCACGTTTGGCGAGCATGCGGCTATAGTTTTAACCGCCTGTGTGGGCTAGGTCCCCAAACTTGTTCTGCGTCGCATGAGGGGGACCTCATCCTTGCTGTTGATATCCTCAAGTGCACGCCTGCGTGCACTGGGAGCCACAGCTTCAACTTTACGCTCGGCTCGTGCCCTGGACGCCGAGCTAGATCCACGATGTGACGAGCAGCGAGATTGTGGTGCTAGGGGCGGCCGCTCGTCAAACCATGTTTGTCTCTGTGAAGCGCTACCCGCCACGCGACCTCGGGAGCCCTGGGCTCGTTGATGCTGCCTTTCTAGTATGCTGCTCATTTCCTCTACACAAACAAATATAATAAGACTCAGATCGGCTAGAATTCGTACTATATGATAAAATTATACCTTCAGTGAATTGGTTTGCCACGTCGACAAACCCGAACATGGCGAGCTACTCCGAGGTAACCAAGGCTTCTAGGTCTATTAAATTCTCCCCCCTCGCATACTCTAGCAACTGATTCTTCAGATCCATGTCCCGTGGCAGCAGTTGGGGGTAGTTAACATGTGCGTTCGGCACGCGCCATTCAGAGAGCCGAGCGGCGAGGTCATTGTTTATTCTTTTTGTTTGTGTATCACGAACAAAAACGAACTGCCTCTTCCACCTAGCCACTTTGTTCCTGACGTTCTTGAAGAGCTGGCTCTTCTCCCTCCCAAAGAGGTAGTACCACTTTGCGCCTCTGGAGTTTGGGCACAGCCGACATTGGAATAATGACCTGAACACTATCGCCTTGGCCGGTATCTCCAACCTCGCACACAACAGCATAAAACCTATGATAAACCTTATGCTGTTGGGCGTCAGCTACGTCAGAGCCAGCTCGTAGTCCGCCGAGAGATCAAATATCATCTCGGGCAGGGGAAATAGCAGGCCGTCGTCAAAGTGATCCACGTACACTGGTATCCAACCTGTCTGTGACACCGTGCAGGCCCTCTCGTTCTGTGTACCAGCTCGGAGCAATATTGTTCTGGGGATTTGGTACGACATCACCATCTCCTTCAGTTTCTTATATCCACTTATTGAAGGCGCACCGTTTGCCACTTCATGATGAAGTGCTGCCCTGAACCTAAATCCAGCAAGCAGGTCCTTGGGCACCTTCCGAAGGTTGCTCAACCTACCCGTGATTATCCTACTCTCCCATTCTCTAACCACAGGCAGATCTGGTACATTGCCAGCAACATCCCCTGTGTTTTCCCCGTGGCTGGGTGTCTCTTCAGAGGACAAACTGCTGGATGGTGAAGCGTGGTTGTTGCCACTGTCATCTCTGGCGCTTGAATTGGCGCTGCTCTCAGGCGTTATCGTTTCCGGCAAGTTTTGTAGGGCCGGCGGCACTATCATCGCGATGGGCTCTACAGAAATAACCCTTTCCTCTTCTTCCTCTCTACCCTGGTTACCTCGTAGCTCTCTAAGTTCTCTAAAGAAGTCCATTTTTACCTGAGATTGATGTGTACGTTGCTGTGTTTATGGTCTGGTGTTCTGTTCTTCAAGCTGCAAACGCTTCGCTACAGAGAATCTCAGCAAATTCAAACAAAGAGTGAAATAGAAAATGGAAAGGGAAGCGGTTATGCAAAGAGTGAAACAGCAATTGTAGCGTTAATTGCCGTACGCATGTCTCTGACGCGCCAGTTAGCACCCCACATGTGGCAGGCGTTTAACCCCTTTTCGTATAACGTCCGCCGTCACGTCCTCTCAAATGCTGAGCCAACATTTATGGCGGGGAATGCAGAGAGATATGGGAGATCAATCATATCTCCTTAGAGATTTGATTCATTCAAAAAAATCCCAAGATTCAGATCGTAACAGGTTGATCTGCTCATTGCCCCGACCATACCAGCTCGTCATAGTGACCACATTTATCAGATCGTCACAAGAGTGACATCTCGTAAGAGATTACAGATCGTAAGATGTTTGAGATTGCTTTACTTAACCTCGTCGCACAGACGAGATTCATTTTGCTTTGACGGATTGAAGTCCTTTACTGTAGCTAGGTTTCGACACCATGTTTATTCAGAGATCTCAAATCGTTCTGTTGTTGAGATCGCCTCATCTCAGCTCGTCCCTATGTTCGAGTGACGACCCTACTAAGTTAATTCAGGACCTTCGACAATAATCGAAGATTCAGGTCGCCACGCATTTGCTCGCACTTATGCTAGTCTAGACGAGATCGCTACTAGTCAATATAGATGAGCTTACCTTTTGCGAGCCACTTCAGCTCGCTGATATACCGAGCCCACGCTAGTGGGGTTATGGATATCAGCTCGCCTGTACACTCTCAGGCTTATGAGCTCGCCGTACTCGTATAAACCTTGTGGGGTCACCGGAAGTGCAGATTGCACAACTGCAACTTGATCGAACCTTCCCATTAGGGTATGTAACTGGTGCCACCTTTCAGATCGGTTGTTAATGAGGTCGCTCACGAGCTGCAAGAGCTGTCAATCTTATTCACCAGCTCGAACGTTGGGCCATGGACACATTCAACCCAATTTGTCAACCGAACACCGATGGGGGAGTAATGTTGGAATAGGCCCAACATTCAACTTGGGCTATACATAATGGGCCTAGGCTGCCGCCCATTAGCCCAAAAGGAGGAAGCATCGGTATAGCAAGTACAAGCATACCCATGTGGGCAGCGCCACGTGGGTCAATGAGATGCTTACATGTACAGACACATGTCAGCATTTGGGGCTATAAATACCCCCCAACTACCTCCGATGAAGGTAATTAATCTCTACGGCACTCTCTCTCTACGATTACTCTTTGAGAGCATATCTCTCTAGAATATCGAGTATTGCTGACTTGAGCGTCGGAGTGTTTTCCCCGAGAAAACATCTTCGGGAATTTCAGGTGTAGAAGCAGCTGAAGACTTCAACAGTGTTGGATCGTGAAGTTGCCCAAACAGGAACTTAAGCCAACATTATATGCTATCACGGTTGTCTTTGTTTGGAAAGCTTCCAGAGAAATTTGATTTTGGCACATTTCCCCCAAAGCTAGAGATTCTTACTTTGGCGGTGTCAGAACTATCGGACGACTCAATGGAAGAACTAGGAAATCTGGAGAGCCTGAAGATCCTTAGGCTGCACGCCCATTCCTACATGGGGAAAAAAATGAAATGTGGTCGTGGCATTTTCCCAAAGCTTCAAATCTTAAAATTGTGGATGCTTGAGGAGCTCGAGAAATGGGAGGTGGAGGAGGGAGCCATGCCCGCCTTAGAAGAAGTTGAGATCAGATGCTGTAAGAAACTCAGTAATCCTGATGGATTGAAGGAGTTGGCCACTCTGAAGGAATTGATTTTGACAAGTATGAAGCAGGATTTTGTGAAGGAGCTTAAAGAAAGCCTAGGCAGCAATGTGTCAATCGTAAAAGAAAACGACTGGAAGTTTTCTTCTACCTGGGTGAGTTCCTCTTACATGGCGCACTTTGGATTTTTTTTTTCTTTTAAAATTTTTCATTCCAATTAATGTAAAAATAAAAAATGACATATTAATTGAGAATGGTTTTATTCATGGTGGTCTAAACTTAAAAACATCTGTTCAGAGTGGGAAAAGAAAAAAAAAATGCTATATATTATGAATCTTAATATTCATTAATACATTTCTGATTCATTAAGTGTATTTTTGTCTATTCAAATCCCAAACTGATGTAGTAAGGCCAATTGTAAGGAAACATTTGTGCCTATTAATCATGATATATTTTCTTTTGCATGAGATGCTGTGCAATAGAAAGAAAGATAGTTCTGCAAAATTAACAGTCTTTTCTTTCAATTATCTTTGTTTTTGTTAGGAAAAGAATGAATGCACAATGAGACCGAACCACGGTTTAAATGAAACAACGGCATAGTGTCTACAAGTGGAAATCAAATTCGTGGAGTGATCTCTGGGTTTCAGCGGGGATGAGTATCATCATAGCGTATTTACGCTGGCGTCAAAAGCAGGGATCTCGCCATGTATGGGTCTAATTTCGTTCTCTATATATCTAGTGTGATATCGATTTGCCTCCAAAATAACCCTGTGGGACGAAATTTCATTAGCACAGTCTTTTCATTTTTCAGTTTTTTTTTTTCTTGTATTGTGCTGGAATAATGATTGTTAGTATCATTACTCAGTGTGCTATGTGAAGGCTTCTGTCTATTTAATGCTGATCTATATAAAATAGCAGTGGAGCTTGTAGAACCACAATTTCAATCGTTTTTAATTTCCTTTTATAGATACGACAATGAACGTATTTTGTTTGCGTAGAGTGTCAACAAAAGCACAAGAGTACTAGAACGTACTCACAAATTAAAAATTTTGATTTATAAAAATAATACAATTACAATGCTACGTGATATTTTTAGTTTGTAATTATAAAATGTTATTATGTGATTGATTATTTTTATTTAAAAGTTCATCTATTATATATATTTATTTATTTAATAACATATCATAATTATAAATTTATAATCTTATGTCACATTATAACTATGGCATTAGTGATTTCATTTGTAGTTTGATTTGATGGGAGAAGAGGTGAAGGAGCTTCCCTTTAAAATTTTTCTATAATTTTAGCATAACCAAATAAGAGAAGGGGAGGCATGCAGACTCCCATCACCACCTCTTCCCTTCGTTTTGCTCAATTAGTTAAAATTAGAGATTCAAACTTTTATAAGACTAACAAATAATTCTCAACGTACCAAAAAACAAAAGTTAGTCTATAGAGTAATAGCAATAATAATAATAATTAAATTTTACTGTCATTAAGCCCAAAAGCTAAAAAGGAAGAGACTAAAATACTTGTATATTATGGATCAAATTTACCTTGGTGACTATATTTCTTCCATGCAATTATAATGGTGATTAACACCCCATAATTTCATGCGTTTACACAATCTATATTTGTAATGGTGATTACACTCCCTTCACATGCATTCACATTTGACCTATTGCTACCTAGTAGGTGTTATTCTTGTAACTTGTGTGAGAATGATTTGGAAGAAAGAAGAGGAATGAAACTCTTTGTGGTCTCTTTGTCTCTCTATTTCATACTTTTCTACTTGATTCTTTCTTTATTTTGCAAAATGTTATTAGCACAAACTATCTCTATATGATTTGTCTCATGGATCGCATTTGACTTAATGAATTTATTGAGGTAAGGATCCAAGTTAAGGTGAAATTTTGAGGTAAGATTTTGAAGCATAATTTTTTCTTTTAATTTATGGTTTTTAATTTGAATATTTTATGGTATGTATGGCAATTTTTTTATTTATATGTTATTTTACAGTTATCACATGATTTGAGCCAACTTAAAATTTCAAATTCATAACTATAAGTCACCCTTTATTTCCCACACTTTTACTACATCAGCAAATATAGTCTGTGTCGGATTTTTGGCCTAACTGCAATTTTCCTTAATGGCAAAATGACAACACTGATCCCTAACTTTTGGTTTTTGTGCACTTCAATCTCTAGATTTTTTATCTATATAGTTTGATCCTAAAAGTTATGATTTCTTTTAGATTAAACCCCCTTTTTGGTCCCTCGACTATTATACAAACCCCTGATTTGGTCCTTGAACTAAAAAAATCCCTAACTTGGTCCCTATTGTTTACTAATTTTACCCCAACTTGGTCATTCTGTTAAAAATCATACGACGTGTTATGTTAATTAATGGCAATATGATGACATATCAAAGTATTAAACACACGTGGAAAAATAACATGGTTGACATGAACAAAAATAATGATGGGCAAAAAGTATTGCCATGACAAAAAAAAAAAAATCTAAAACTTTTTTTTCCTTCTCTTTTTCTTTCTTTTTCCCCTTGGGGTCCTGGGCTCTTTTAAACCCAATGTTTGAACCCAGCATGCCTAGGTTCTAGCCTGGAACCCAGCGGCCATTGGGTTCAAACTCGTGGGTTTCAATCGTTGGAACCTAAGCATGCTGGGTTTACAAACATGTGGGTTTCAGCGACTGTTGGGTTCAAACCTAGCACGCCTGGGTTTTAGCGGTTGGAACCCACGTGTTCGAACCCAGTGGTCGTTGCGTTCAAACATGTGGTTGCGTGGGTTCCAGCCACTGGAACTTAGCGGCCGTTGGGTATGAACCCAGCATGCCTGAGTTTCAATGGCTAGAACCCACACGTTCGTACCCAACGGCCACTGCTTTTGAATGTGTGGACACGTGGGTTCCAGCCATTGGAACCCAATGGTCACTGGGTTTGAACGTGTGGGTTCCAGTCGTTGGAACCCAACGGCTGTTGGGTTCAAACCCAGCACGCTTGGGTTCAAGTGGTTGGAACCCAGTAGCCGTTGGATTCAAACCCAACAAATTTTTTGTTTTGTGCAAAAAGTCAAAAAGATTTTCTATTTTTTATGGGTTTTGTTGTTTGATGATTATGATGAATAATTGATTGATGAAGAGTGGTGATGAAAGTGGATTCAGATGAGGCAAAGAGAGAAAAAGAAGAATGAAAGAAAAGATTTGAGAAAGAGAAGGCTGAGGAAGAAGACGATGGCAAAATTGTAATTTTGGTGGGTTTCACTTTTTTCGGTATTGGACAAGAATATAACATGGCATACTGCCATGTTATCATTTTTTCCATTTGTACATCTAACGTGTCTTAAAATTTTGCCATGTCATTAAGTTATGTGAGTTAACAGTGGATTTTTAACAAAATGACCAAGTTGGGGTAAAATTGGTAAACAGTATAGACCAAGTCAAGGATTTTTTCAATTCAGGGACTAAATCGAGGGTTAGTACAATAGTTGAGGGACCAAAAAGGGATTTTAACCTTTCTTTTAATTAAGTCTTTTTCTACACCAATAATAAAAATTATGTTAAATCAAATCGTGAAGCTAAGGTCGTGAAGCTTGTTGCTGGAGATTTAAATTAGATGGGGTTTTGAGGATGAGGAATTAGGGCAATTACACACAGATTTAGAGGATACAAAAGGGGATGCTAAGGGTACCTTGCTAGAGCTAGCAGCTAGTGGCGAGTTAGCGAGATTGAGAATCATTACTTATCGGCGCAAGATCTGAAGAAGAGTGATGCTGTTTCCATGGATGGGAAAGTAGATAAAGGGAAGAAAGAAATGAGCTTGAAGACCCAACGGTCTATAATCCAAATGAAGCATTATTTTGGGGATTTGGGTGCTAGCTCTTCGAGTACTACAATTTCTCCTAGTGCTCATTGGATTGATGTGATTGAAAAAGAGAAAGAAGGTCAACCCTCTCTCAAGTAGAAGCCACTACGTAGTTGGGCTGCTATTGTTGAAGGTAATAGAGACATCAAGAAAGGGTGGGATTTGCAGTATGTGAAGCCTCAGGAGCCAACTGGTGCTGTGGTTATTACTAAAGATGAGTAGGCTAAAAGGGAGAATGCTCTTGTTGAGTATGTTCTGAGTCTTAAACCTGCTTTTAAGGATATGGCTAATTTTTTGAACAATAGGTGGAGGGAATTCCAGGTGCCTAAGGTGTTTATGTTAAGAAATGGAGTCTTCTTGTTTGATTTCTCTAATGGAGATGCAAAGTAGGTGGTGCTGGAGAAGCAGTGGACGTTTAATGAACACCCTTTAATTCTGAAATAGTGGACTCCAGATTTTGACCCTAACAACGTGGATATTAGTAAGATTCCTTTCTGGATTCAATTTCTTGAGCTCCATTTAAGTCTTTGGAATCCTGAAAGTTTAGGAAAGCTGGCAAGTTATGTGGGAATTCCTATTGCTACTAATGCTTTGACAACTAAAAGGCAAAGAGTGGCTTATGCTCGCATGCTAGTTGAGACGGAAATTATGGATACTCTGCCCCATGTAATGCCTGTTGTTGGTCCTCAGGGTGTGTTTCAACAGCCTGTGGTTTTTGAGTGGGAGCCTAAGAGATGTGGTAAATGTAGGAATCTTGGGCATGAAGAGAAGAATTGTAATGCTAAGGCCAAAAAGGTGTGGGTTCCTAAAAAACCTGTAAAGGAGCAGGTGATCAAACATATGGTTGGCTCAAAGCCTCCCTTGGAGAATGATGAATTATGGGGGGCTGAAGTTCAAACTGTTGCTAATTCATCAAATGAGAAGTAAAGTAAACTCATACATACTGCTGGTAAGATGATAGTGGAAAGCAATGAGCAATGTCTAGTACAACCAGGTGTGGGAGTTCTAAGACAAGGGAATTTGCAGAATGGGACTAGTACTAGCACTAGTGATAAAGAGATGATGTAAAATGCAACAGGTGGAGCATCTTCTGTAAGTGATTCTTTGTCATGATATATCTTTCTACATGGAATGTGAAGGGTTTGAATGACCCTGTAAGACAAGTAGATGTTAAGAAGTTTATGCTTTCAAATAAAGTTCAATTTATTGCTTTATTAGAAACTAGAGTAAAGAAAGAGAATAGTAGTAAAGTTGTGCAAACGTTGGGTAGTCAATGGGGATGGTTGAATAATTATAAGTCTCATTATAATGGTAAAATCTGGATCTTATGGAATAAAGCAGAACTGAAGGTGACTGAAGTACTGCAAACAAAACAATTGATGCATGAAGTGTGCTCTATAGTTGGGGATGTTAAATTTTTATGCACTATTGTTTATGGTTTTAACTCATTTGATGGTAGAGTAGCATTATGGGAATAGCTTAGAACTTTAAATGTTGCTAATGTGCCTTGGAAAATTTCTAGGGACTTTAATACAACTTTGCACTATGGTGAAAGGGTAAAGCTTAGTGCAGTTGTCTAGGGAGACACTTTTAAGCTTCAGCATTTTGTGAGCAAAATGGAGGCCTTTGATCTGCAATTTTTAGGCCTTTTTTTTCACTTGGTGTAATAAGCAGGGAGAGAATGACAGGTTGTGGTGCAAGCTAGACAAGGTAATGGCTAATTCAACATGGGTTAATGCATTTCCCAATACTTCAGTGGTCTTTTTAAATCCACAATCCTTTGATCACTCACCTTCTTTAGTTACGATGGATTTATTGATGAATGATAAGCCAAAACCATTTAGGTTCTGCAATGCCTAGTCTAAAGATGAAGGATTCCTAGATTTGGTTAGTGAAGCTTGGAGTTCAGACATTCAAGGATGTCCTATGTTTGTTGTAGTGCAGAAATTGAAATTGGTAAAGCAGAAACTGAAGCAGTTGCATAAAAATAGATATGGAAATTTGGAGAGAAAAATTAAAGACATGGCCGTTCAGCTACAAAATGTTCGAGCTTGCATGCAAAATGACTTATTCGATGAGACTTTGGCTTTAAGGGAAAGGGAACTCCAATGTGAATTAACTAAGCTTGAGCGAGCTAATCTTTCTTTAATTGCCCAACAAGCTAAGGTAACTTGGCTAAAGGAGATGGATTCTAATTTTGCTTATTTTCATGCATTCTAATCCTGCTTATTTTCACACTAAAGTTAAAGAGAGGCAGTATAGGGGTGTTATTAGCTTCATCATGAATTGTAAGGATGTTAGAGTGACTCAGCCAGAGCTTATAGAACAAGAGTTTTAATGTTCTATCAAAACTTGTTTGGGAAGGCTAAAGAAGGTATTCAAGCAACTGATATGAATGTTATCTGTCAAGGCAGGGTGTTAACTACTGAAGAGTCTGACAAGTTATGCAGGCCATTCACTACTAGGGATGTGGAGACTACCCTATTTTCAATTCCTTCTAATAAGTCACCAGGGCCCAATGGATTTACTTTAGGATTTTATAAAGCAGCATGGTCAATAATTAAAAATGATGTCATTGCTGTTGTGTTAGATTTCTTTGATAATGGGAAGCTCCTCAAGCAAATTAATGCCACCAATATTACTATTATTCCAAAAGTAAGTTGCCCAAATTTTGTCAATGATTATAAGCCTATAGCTTGCTACAATGTAATCTACAAGGTGATATCGAAACTTTTAACTCAAAGGATTAATGAAGTGTTGAGCATGTTGGTTAGTTGTAATCAAGCTGCATTTGTGAAGAGCAGATATATAATGACTAACTTATTAATTTGTCAAGATCTAGTGAGAAATTATCATAGGAATGGGGGACTGCTAGATGTTTAATGAAGCTTGATTTACGAAAAGTGTATGATTCAGTTGATTGGGGTTTTGTTGAGACAATTTTAAGAGGGTTGAATTTTCCTGATAGATTTGTTCACTGGATTATGCTTTGCGTCTCTACTACTAGATTTTCTATTTTGATAAATGGACAGCCAAAGGGGTATTTTCTGGGGCAGAAAGGACTTCAACAGGGTGATCTAGTCTTGCTTTATCTGTTTGTGCTAGTAATGGAGTATTAAAAGGAAATTGAAGGAGCTAGATGTGCAGGAGAAATTTAAATATCATAGTAAGTGCCAAACTATGCAACTTACCCACTTGATCTTTGCAAGTGACATCATGCTTTTTTGTAAGGCTAATGAGGAGTCCACTATACTGATTATGCAAATGTTTGAGGAATTTTCCCAAGTCTCTAGCTTGGAAGTGAACAAAATGAAGAGTCAGATTTTCTTTAGTAGAGTTACTGAAGGGTAGAAAGTTGCTTTAATTCAGAAGTTGGGTTTTGTTGAGAGATAGCTTCCAGTTAGATATTTGGGGTTGCTTTTGGTTTCCAAAAAGCTATCTCCTGGGGCATGTCAACCTGTTATTGATAGGATTCATCAGAAAATTGGCTCTTGGGCAACAAAATTTCTATTATATGGAGGTAGAGTGCAATTAGTTAACTTTACATTATTTCACATTCAAGTTTTTTGGAGTGGTGCTTTATTGATTCCGAAGAAAGTGTTAAAGTTAATTGATGCTGCTTGTAGAAACTTTATTTCGTGTGGTAAATGGGATTACAATGCTATGTCCCTTGTAGCGTGGGATGATGTATGTGTGCCAAGGAAAGAAGGGGGGCTAGGGGTGAAGCAATTGTTGCACTGGAATAAGGTAGCATTAGGAAAATTAGTTTGGAATATATGCCAACAGCAAGATTTGTTATGGGTTAGGTGGGCACAAGTAGTACTTTTGAAAGGGGAAAATTTTTGGAAGGCCCAAATCCCTATGGATTGTGCTTGGACTTGGAGGCAAGTGTTAAAGCTTTGTCCTCTGCTGAAAAATGCCATTTGGATGCAAGTGGGAGATGGATGACGAATTTCTTTATTCTACAATTGGACGGCAAGTGAGGTAAGGTTCTATGAGTTACTTTTAAAAGATGAAATTGTTGTTTAGGGCCATGGTCTTAAAGTGAGTCAATGGGGGGATGGATTGGATTGGACTATTCCGGCTGGTTTCGTGATAAGGCATCCCATGCTAGTTTAGATTATCAGGTGTCAAAAATTGTCTCAACAAGCTAACAAGGTTGTGTAGAAACCTACAAAGAATGGTTTGTTTACTATCTCGAGTTGTTATGAGTTTTTAAAAGTGAAACACCCTAGGGTGGAATGGCATAATATAGTTTGGGCAAGGTGCATTTTCCTACAACATAGCTTCATTTTTTGGCTGGTGTTGTAGCGTAGACTAAAGACTAGAGTTCTGCTAGCAAACAGAGGTCTGAGAATTAGAAAGGGTGATGTTTGTGCTGTAGATATGAGGAAACTTGTGAGCACTTGTTCTTTGATTGTAGTTTTGCTAAAGAAGTGTGGAGTTTAGTTTTGAACTTTTTGAATATCCAGAGACAACCAGGAAGATGGAGTGTTGAATGGCATTGGCTAAGGAAGGGATGTAAAGGTTGTTCAGCTCAGCCAAAAAAGTTGAGGATTGCTTTAGTTGCCACTTTATACATGATTTGGCAGGAAAGGAATAGGAGAATATTTCTTAGAAAGTTTTTGATTAAAAGGGATGTATATAATGAAATAATTAGTTTATTGAGATTAAAGTTTTAAGGAGTGTAATTCCCCAGGTATGCTTGAGAGTAGAGTGTATATGCCATTTAATTTTCAATGCAAAAACTTGTCTTTTTCCAAAAGAAAATTGTTAAATCAAGTAAAATCTTATGAAACTCATTTAAATATCAATAATATAAAGACAAAAATTCTACATTAACACATGAAAATTGAGTTCATTATATAATGTATGGCAGAAAGGGAGAAAGAAAGAGTAAAGTGTAAAAATGGCAAAAAAAAAAAAAAAGGAACTGCGAGAGGGATGGGGTGGGTTAATGAAGCAAACAGATTGAAAAGACCACAAAATATGTGGCAAAATTACAAAAATACCACCATTCAAACATATTTTAGTTTAGATATAGAAAGGTATAAAGGAGAGGCAAAGAATGGCAGGAATGTTGACTCTAATTGACATGTTGACTCTACCCACTTTATTTTATTTTATTTTTTTGAAAGGCCAGTTTACCCACTTTATTCCACTTTATAATTACAAATTTAGATGACTTTAGATTGTCCAGTCTTATAGCCTCCGATTTTCACTTCCGATGAAACCCCAGCCTCCTTATCCTCTCATTTCCGTGGTTGATTTTGTCAGGATCTCACTCCATTATAAGCAAGATAGGACAAGGTTTTGGTTGTAAGACTTGTTCAGGTAAAATTCAGATTTCTCTCATTCTTACCATATTTATACTTCTTGTAATCTGTAGATTTTTAGCTTGTTTTTGATATTTTTAACAAGTTATGCACACAAGAACGACTAAAATCATGGATATACACAAAAGTATGTAAGTGATGCAAATGGTTAATGTTTGGTTGCTACCTATTTTTGTGTGAACTAGAGCTTTGTTTGTTACTATAGTGCTGTAGTGCAGGTACAGAATTTTCTTGTTTTTTGCTTTTGTAAAAATATATAAAATATTAATTACAATGATTAAAAATTAAAAATTTACATCTTCAGATAAGATATTACCATCCAAGGTACTGGAAACGAAACCTAGCTATATAAGAAACACTTCAAGAGTTGGAAAATGGCGACACATTGACAACTTTTAAAGGGTTTAGTGAGAATGGAAAATTTGAGGTACCGTTGAGGGTAATGTAGTAAAAACAACTTTGTTTTATACCAAAAAGACTAGCAGAATTTTTTTTAATTTAAATTTATTTTGATTCAAAAATATGTCTCGTTGCGATCATTACCTAAACCGACTCATTAATTTATACTATTATATTATACAGAATTTAAGTAACTCTCGAACTCGAAGGTATAATGATTCCCTCAGGGTCGAAAAGTGAAAACAGGCCTGATTTCTTCCTCTATCTTTTCCTAATTTAAATTTTTTATTTTCAATTTATTTATGAAACGCATTATTTAGGATTTTAGATTTTAAGATATTACCGTAGATTAATAAGATGTTATGTTTTAGGATTTAAACTTAGGTTTTATGATTTCAAAATTTATACCTAACAAGTCAGCGAGATGCATTTCATGGGTCATAGTTAATAATCTTAGTCAACATTATATTTGTAA